TTGGGTCCCCTTAGAGAATTTTTAGATGGGTCTAAAAATATGTTCGATTTCCCGCAAAAACGAAAAAACTGCATCTGCGTATCGCACGTCGCTTTCTCTTAACAATTCCATTGTTACGTAAGATTTCCATTGTTGACACTTCCATTGTTACTTAAAACTTTTATTGTTACTTAAAACTTCCATTGTTACTTAACACTTCCATTGTTACTTAGCACTTCCATTGTTACCTAACACCGCCATTGTTACTTAACACTTCCATTGTTGATGGAAGTGTTAAGCCTTGATCCTGTCTTTCTCCCCCCCGGGAGGAATTTCGAAAAATCCCTTCTTAGTGTGCGTTTTTGTGATGTACCCTATCTGTGTACCAAATTTCAGCTTCCAACTCCTAACTGTTTGGGCTCTGCACTTATTATTATTATCATTATTATTATCAATCCGTCTCGATTATATTATAGATTATGTATGGAGCAGCTTTGCTGAATTCTTTATACTTCACCTATTAAAAGAATATAATATTGTACAAAATAAAATTTATATTAAATCAGGGTTTCCAAATTCTGGAAAGTCAGGGAAAGTAAGGAAAACTAAGCGTTTTCAAATAAAATAATATAATCACTTCTTATTTTTATTTATTGCTACATTTCATACTTAAATTTTGGTAAATCTTTGGATAAAATGTGTTACTGCATTTCTTTCTCACAGAGCTCTGTTCAACTTACCACAGAAGGCCTATTTCAAATTTACTACATTGGGCCTGTTTTCTTGACTCTTGAATTGCCTGTATGGCAACATGAACGTTTTGAGGATGTCACATGATAGGAATGTGTTTGTTGAATTGTCTCAATGAATCTGATTTGTAAAGGTAAAATGTCAGATTGTAAAGGTAAAATGATTACTTCATCTGTAAAATTGACAAATGAAATACAGCAGTATCTCAGTACTCGAATAATTCGGTATCCAAACACAAATTCTGGGGAAAAGTTGCTCGGTACTCAATTAAACAAATGCAACCCGTTAGAACACATTTTTGATTAATAACGTGTTTTTATTTCATTGTCCATAAAAATTGTTTATGATAAAAATAAAAAATATGAAAATTTTGCTGATACTTCTGATTGAGATTAACAAAAAAACTGAGATGATGACAATACTTTGTAAAAAGAAAAGGTTCTTGTTTAACTAAAATTAATATTAACACATAATACAATACTTTTAATTGTAATTGTTATTTATTGGATTAGAAATAAATTCTCAATTGCTTTAATAAACATATTTCTCTTAGTAACAAAAAAATAGTATACTTTTGCTAATTTCTGGAGCATAATCCTATGTTTTGCATTAGTCTTTTGTTTCATATAGCACAGATTTACATAACATGTCACTTTTTCAGAACGTAACTATCATGTTATACGAGGGATACCTGTATTTTAGAAGTTTCTATTTTCTATTGGTATCATATTGCATACTAGAAGATAGTGTAATGATATTCATATAAGAATGAGAGGAGGAGAAGGAAAATTGTTACATCAGGAGTTAAGTAAATATGCATCTTACTTGAACACCCTACCACCCACAAAAATAAATATTAAAAATATGCCTGTGACATGTATTGGAAAAATTGGAAAAAAAATGGGAAGAAAATTGGAAGTTGTATTAAATGTGCAAAAAGTTAAGGAAATAAGAAATTTAGGGTTTGAAAGTCAGGTAAATGGGATATGATTTTAATTTGGGAATCATCTCTTAAGTATACAATCTTCAACTTTCATATTATGATAAAGAAAATGAATTTTTACTTACATGAAAATCACATAAAATAATCTGTTCAAATGTATAATAAAGATAAAAAAAAATCAGTGCATATATTTCATTTGATTATAAATAATGTAATTATTTATTTAATTTGCATTTTAAATCAATAAGAGGCTACTATGGTGGATTTCCTTTGATTTTCCTGTAGTGGCAGCCAATCAGTTAGACCCCAATTCACCAAGACCAGAAGGAAATGTTATGACACCATTAGTTGGAGAGCAATTATTGGTAAGTTTGTATTTAATTACTTCAATCATTTTATAAAAATTTATTTAAGTATTTGTAATTTAATAAATTATTTTTTATATAAATTAATTATATGTTGAATTTGAAATTTAAATTTATGTATCATTATACATAGAACAATGGATATGTTCTTAAAAGTCAGACAAGTTAAATGAGTTAGTGATAAATTACTAGTTCAGCTTAATTCACATGCTCTATTCTGATGAAGTTTCAAATGAAACCCTAATGAAATTCAAAAGAATGGGTTCATTTACTTTGTGAAGAAAATGTTATCTGGTGATATTGATGTTTCTAAATTTACTTGAATATATTAATTGTGGATTAAAAGCTGAACGTCCACATAAAGCAATCCAAGAAAACTATTTATTTTAGATAAGACTGAACTAGTAACATTCATTACTTTGATTTTAGAAACAGCCATTTTGTTGTAAACATATCAGTTGAAATGTTCAGCAAAAATAAGAATAACAATGACATTACTCTTTTTTCACTCATTCAACTTCATATAAATATGGGATACATTTATAAAGCTAATTAGACTATTTGAAAAAAAACACATTTTACTATATACTAATGAATGAATAAATTTGTCTCTAACAATGGTAAAATTAACAACTTGAAGAAATGAAACAGTTAAAAAATAATACTGTTGCATTTAGCTGCTTAACTAGAGATTAGTTAAGCAGCTAAATGAGTAATAGATTTATTGTGGAATTTTGTGAAGTAGACAATATTAGATTAAGTTTACTAATAATTTTTTTAAAAAAATCTAGTAGAAGTTCTGTTTTCTACTTGAACCACATTCTCAGATATTTTTTAAAATGTTTTAAATTGTTACTGAAGATGAGTGCAAAATTATCCAAATTGTGAATAAATTCAAGCGTGAATTATATAATAATCAAATCATAGTGCCTGATTATTTATCAGGCAAAACTTGGTTAATTATATAGATATTACATAATATGGACTATAGGTAGGTGGTTAAGCCACCATCTTGTATTAAATTTAATAATTAGAAATAAATAAATTAAATTGTTTTTGAAGAAAAGATCAATTCAGAACAGGATCCTAAACAACTTGCATTACAAATGTATCTATCTGCACAGTAAGCAGAAGCTGCATGTTTGAGAATGATCTTTCTGATTAATTAGCAAAGTTTTAGCCAGATAATCTTGCTCTGTCATTTAATTCCTTTTTGTTTTTTTGTTAGTAAAAAATTTTAATATTTAATATATCTTTTTTAAATTTAAACATTCGTAAAAAATTTAATCTGAGATGTTTAAATTTAAGAGAGAGTTATTAAATTTTTAATCATTTTATTCATTTAAAATCTTGTTAGATATTTCTAGAATAATCAATCTTAAATTAAAAATATATAATTATGCTTACAAAAATTTTTCAAAATGTTTGTCTTGGGATAGTTTTCATATTTTGTTTTCTTCACACCAGTTATTGGTTCTGTGGGCGTTTATTAAAAATTTTTCAGTTTTTAAACATTAAAATTTTGAGTTTCACATTTTCTGCTTATAAAACAAAACTCTACATAGGAGTTGTTCATAATCTTTAAAAGTTCAACTTCGGTAACCTTCGTAAGTAATTTTTTAAATTTTGAAGGAAAAGTTGTTTCACCTGATCTTGGATAGAAACTGAAAAACAGTGAAAATAAGGAAATAGGGTAAAATCTGTGTAGTATTAGAATGTCATTAAATTATTTAATATCTCCATTGGTAAAATTTATATTAGATATTTCAATCTGGGAACTAAAAGTATAAATATCAGGAAAGTCATACTGTATATATGATGTCCATTCAAAAAAATAAATCATTGTGTTTAATTATTTCAGCATTGATACTTTTTTGGTGATGTTTTCTCTTGCTTTTTTCTTTGTTGCATTTGTTATTTAATGCTGTTTGTTTGTTTAGGAGAGTCTGATTAGACTGTCAACTGATAGCTTATTTTACAGATCTATGATTTCACAGTTTACATCCATACAATATACTTTTCTCCTTGTCAAAATAAACCCTCCTCTTGTCTGTCTGTCAAGTATTTGATTTGATTGTGTCAAGTCAGTTTGGGACTTTTTGACTTGAGCACATTTTTTTAAGTCACAACAGGATGATAGTTTGCATTTTTTCTTAGTTTAATCTTAAGCTATAAAATACACAAACAATGAAATTCAGAATTTATAAATTATATCAAAACTTTAGGCTGTTTAACAGATGAGTATATTTAAATTGCAGTTTTTTGTTTTTGTAGTTTTCAATATATGTTTTTGAACTGGTTTGAGTTATTGAAATATTTAATTTCTGATGTTCTAAATGTTAGTTAAATGTTTAAATCCATTATTTTACATAGAAAAAGATTTAAAAATACATGATTATATCTTACTTATCAAAACTTAAAATAACATAATTATTAAGTTATTTAATTTCTTAGTTTGTAATTTCATTATGTATTTTTATAAAAAATATATTTTGTAAAATGAATCAATACGTTTTATTTCTTAGGTTCCNGTAGTGTTGATGGAGTGTATCTTACATGGCATTATATTGGTGTCTAACACTATGCTGGACTAGGGTCAAGGCATAACTGCAGAACATTATGATACTATTCTGTGACAAAGCATGAGAAATTCTCGGGAATATGGTATTCAATTAAGAAATAATGAATCTTCTGTTAATTTCTATTGTATATCTCACCATTTTTTACTTATTGCATAAACTTCAGAAATTTACTGATAAGTTTCAAAAAGGTTTTCATTTGGTGCATTCAAAACTGGCTGATGGCAGATGGTCAAGGCAATTAAGATGTCAGCTTTTTACTGTAGGAGACAAGGAATCGAATCTGGGCAAGCAATCCCATGTATTTTTTGGGATTCTGTCTTGGATATATCAGGCTTCAGGCTACCACCTGGCCACTTCATTGTATGTTTGACTAAACCATGTTGGGTATGATTAAAAAAGCTTCCCAGAAGGTGGAACAACCAACAATCAAAAGTGAAAAATAAAAAAAATAATGCACAAGATGATTTTTTATCATTTTATTCATTTTCTAACACTTATGAATGTCTGAGAAACATATAAATTGCAGATATATATCAGATGTTTCTTATTAGCTTTGTGAATAAAATAACATACTGAAAAATAACATACTGAAAAGCCAAATGATTGACAGATAAGATCAAACTATGTTGCTGCTACTATTAATAACTTTTCTTTGACAGTTAACTACTTTTCTTCCAGAACCTTCTAAATTAATAAATAAATATTAATTTAATTATAACTATTATATTTAATAAGAGATGGCATCTAATATCTACCTTTAGGTCAAATTACTTAGCGTTTAATTATTAATTATTAAAAGAAGCAGTAATATAGCCCAATCTAATGTGGCAATTGTTTGGCTTTGAAACTTTATACTTTTTCCCACTATTTCAAAGTTTTAAAATAATTTTTATATATTCTATTTTAAATTTTAAAATTGTAATATTGAAATTTTTTTTAGTTATAATCATTTCAAATAATTAATTTGACATAAGAATTATACAAATTATTACATTCTTAAAAATATTTTTGATATTCTAAATAATTATTAAAACAAATATTTTAATTAAATTAATTATTAATAATTTTAGGAACTGGGAAATGGAAGGTTTCAGCTAAAATTCAGCAGTTGCTCAATACCCTAAAGGTGCAGCTATTTAAGAAATTTTTGTATAAATAAATAAAATATTATAATTAACAAATTTTATATTCAAATCATAGAGACCAAAAAGACGTCCTCTTCCGGAATTCTATGTTGATGATGAAACAGATTTAGAAAGTGAGTAAAGGAAATGTATATTATTTATTTATATATATAAGTAAATTTAAAAGTATATTTATTTTCAATTTGAAAATCAATAATATACAGTCGACCCCCCCCATAAGATCATAGATACGTTCCATTCTTTAGGAATCCGATTTCTTACGAGTCCTTCCAATCACAGCCCGACACGTGTGAAGTTTACGGACTACGGCTGATTGAAAGGTTTTCTTCCATAAAATTAATCGATTCTAGACTAATCCGACTCAA